TTCAACGCAACTCAACTGCACGGAAGTGGAGAGGCCTGCACGTGGGTATCGGGCAGGATGGCGAAACAGAGCCTGCATGTTCGGAGGCAGTCTACCTTTGAAAAAACAACTGCTGGGGCCAAGTGATGGCAGAGTGCTGTTGTCTTCATGCCCTGACCCAGACTTCCTGGGAGCATTTGGCTGGCCACTGCGAAAAGTTAGGTGGGCAAAATGAACCACGCCCTCAATCTAACCCAGCAGTGCTCTTAATGTGTTTTTAAATCAGCCCATGCACTTCCACAATATACGTTCTACCTCAGAAAGGGGGAAGCAAAGCAGGTCTTCATTTGAGCTCGTTGAATTTTTTTGAAAAGTGTTTTGAATGCCAGGGGTCCATGGCCGCCTCTGAGCATGTGCAGAGTTTATTTAGTGAAAGCAGGTGTAGTACTTGGGAATATAACCAGTATATATTTTAAGTTTGGCCATGAACTGAGGGGCTGCAAGCCTCATATCTGCAATGTCAGCGTTATCTCTCACTTGAACTACTGCAATGCACTCTATGTGGGGCTACCTTTGAAGGTGACCTGGAAACTACAACTAATCCAGAATGCGGCAGCTAGACTGGTGACTAGGAGCGGCCACCGAGACCACATAACACCGGTCCTGAAAGACTCCCAGTATGTTTCCGAGCACAATTCAAAGTGTCGGTGCCGACCTTTAAAGCCCTAAACGGCCTCGGTCCAGTATAACTGAAGGAGCGTCTCCACCTCCATCGTTCTGCCCGGACACTGAGGTCCAGCTCTGAGGGCCTTCTGGCGGTTCCCTCGCTGCAAGAAGCCAAGTTACAGGGAACCGGGCAGAGGGCCTTCTCAGTAGTGGCACCCGCCCTGTGGAACGCCCTCCCACCAGATGTCAAAGAGAAAAACAACTACCAGACTTTTAGAAGACATCTGAAGGCAGCCCTGTTTAGAAAAGCTTTTAATGTTTAATAGGTTATTGTATTTTAGCCGTTATTGTATTTTAGCCGTATTTTAGCCGCACAGACTGGCTGGAGAAACCCAGCCAGATGGGCGGGGTATAAATAATAAATTATAATGTTATTGTTGTTGTTGTTATGAACAGTGGTCTGTCCTACAGAGCTCTTGGAATGATAGCCAAAGATTAAATGATGAGGCTCTTTAAAACAGAAGGTCGCAGTAGGCGATCTGAGCAGGCACCCTAGCATTTGATCAAACCACCAGCTTTCCCACCTCGCTCCCCGTTGGCAGTGCTCAAAAAAGTCTGTCCTCCAGAAGTGAGCTCACTTTTTACCTTGATAAAAGTGCAGAGTTGGGATGCCAAACTTCAGACGAAAATTGTGAAAAATTCTTCCCATACCTCCCTTTGGCAAAACTCTCTGGGGAAATGATTTCTGCATTAGGTCACCCAAGAGGAAGGCGAACAAAAGAGGTTCTTTTAGAGGTGAATTGACTGATGTCACCCTGCCCACGTGTGCCTGTTCGTGAATGAGAGAGGCAGGGAGAAAAGCTATTTCTGCAGAATCCACTTGCAAAGGTGGCTGCGTGGAGAGACTCATCACAATCTCTTAAAACAGCCATTACTTGCCTCGTGTGCTCCATAAATTTCAGCCTGCAACGCCCCTCAGGTACCAGCAAGTATGTCTTTCAAAACATCCAGAGAGCACCAGGTTGGGAATGCCTGTCTGAGATCCACCAAAGAGGCCTCTTTCGATTCTTGCCTCCTGAGTGCCAAGCCTGGATACCAGAGGCATGGAGGGAACCTGTTCCATGGCTATGGAAGGCTGGCAACATGCCCAACTCAGGGCCCAAGCACCTGTCCTTTTGGTGGCCTTTTCAGAAGTGATGCTAAGATCACGCTCACTGACTCTTCGAGAGGGTTTTGTAAGAAAGATGATTTTGAACCAACCCTAAACTCTATCCAATCAATAGTACAAGGCCCACCTTGGGGGTCTGCATTCCTCTGATGGGTGGGGCAGAGCAACGGACATGACTCTTACCTTTGTACAGGTAAGAGTCAGGGCAGCTACGCTAAAGCAGAGGCTTTCACCATCACAGCACAAGGCAAGTGTTTTTCTCTATCCTCTTTCCAGGCAAAGCAAAGGGGCATCGTCTCAGTTCAAGGACCCATCGCAGCCAGGCAAAAGCACTTGAGGAGGGCCATGGGCATAGCCAGGATTCTTGTTAGGAGGGGCAGGCTTTTGGTGAGGGAGCCAGAACCTCAGATTTCTATTGATTTGAATAGTGTTACCTCGGGTTAGGAACGCAGGTGAGGCTGTGGCCTATAGAGCGAGATGAACGCCGCAACCCCAGAGTCGGCCACGACTGGACCTAATGGTCAGGGGTCCCTTTACCTTGGGTTAAGAACTTAATTCATTCCGGAGGTCCGTTCTTAACCTGAAACTGTTCTTAACCTGAGGTACCACTTTAGCTAATGGGGCCTCCCGCTGCCGCCGCATGATTTCTGTTCTCATCCTGAAGCAAAGTTCTTAACCTGAGGTACTATTTCTGGGTTAGCGGAGTCTGTAACGTGAAGCGTCTGTAACCCGAGGTACCACTGTATTGATTTTGACTGATTTAAGGGGGGCAGCTGCCCCCCTTGGCTATGCCGATGAGGAGGGCACAGAACAGGCTCTGGGAGGGGTGTGGTCTCAGAGATGTCCTGAGGGCCAGGCAGAGAGTTCTGGAGGGCACATTTGGCGCCCAGGCTGGAAGTTCCCAAATCCTGACAGCAAGAAAATTGAAAGATTAGCTACAAAATAGGTTCAAATACATTGTACCCAGGCCCAATTCAAGGTAGTAGTACTAGTGCGCCCGATTATCAAAGCATTTGTTGTTGTTTTTATATTTATTTATACCCTTCCTTTTACCCTGATGCGACTCAAGGTGGCTTACAGATAAAAACAAAAATTGCTAAAAACATAGAAAAACAAACATAAAAAATAGAACACACACACAGAGATAGATCTATCTATCTATCTATCTATCTATCTATCTATCTATGCTATTTTTCTGGAAAAAGCGGTTCCAGAACTCACCATGGACCCTGAGAGCTGCTGGAACTAAGCTCTGGTGAGTTCCAGCTCAAAAAAAGTCATATATATAAATAGAGAGAGAGAGTTTCTATACCCCCTTTCATCCAAGAATCACAGGGCGGTTTACAATATAAAAACACCGTAACAAACATAAGCAATACCCCCACTTATTTTATATACATATAAAAGATCTATTAAAACCATACAGATAATTACAGCACATCATCAGCCTTCTCATTAAAAGCAGTCAGTTCCCCAAAGCCTGTTGGAATAAGGTCTTCACCTGCTGGCAGAACAGCAGGGAGGGAACCAGTCTGGGTTCCCTAGGCAGGGAGTTCCAGAGTTGTGTCTCTGGGAGCAGCTGGCGATCATCTCAAGGCGATCTTCCTACCTACCTTGGTTTTAAGTTCTTCTTGAGGTGCCCTTGGTGAGCGTGGTCTGCAGATCAACCGCACATAGCAGGGCCTTCTTGGTGGCCGCACCCCAGTTATGGAACTGCCTCTTTGTGGAGGTCTGGCTGCCCTCCACGTTGCTTTCGTTAAATGCACACTTTTTCAATGCAGACCTTTGAACAGAAAAGGAAAGTCTGCTGTATCTGTTTACTGCGCTAGTAATACAGTACAGCATATTTCAAATACTGAGATTGACCTTGGGCCAGTCAGCACCTGTCTGCCTAAGCTACCTCACAAGGTTGCTGTCGCGGGGGTTGGGGGCGGGGAGAAGCAGGAATGCCACCTTAAGCTCCTTATAGAAAAAAGCGCACTTCTCGATGCAGATGTGTAAATAAAGAAACAATATCTTTAAGGAGGCGCTGCAAGGCTCAAACTCAATGCTGATGGCCGCAAACAATGGGCTGAGGTGCTGCGCTGTCACGGAACATCAACAAATATTCCAACCATTCAGGCTGAATGGTGGGAACCGAAGAATCAATATAATTGGGGAAAACCTCATAGGCTGAGGAACAGAAGGGCCTGTGTGTCATTCTGAAAAAGGGCCTCAACTGGCCAGGAAACTTTGGAATCTGGGTCAGAGGGGCTACAAAAATTGGGGAGGGGGCCCCTACAGTCCACATACCGCTTTGCAGTAACCAGGCAAATGCTTGCATGCTGATCTTTACAGGGCTAGCAATACCACATGCCTCAGAACGATTTGCTACATTATTTTGGCCATCCTTGTGGCACGATCCTGTAAATTAGGTCCCAGTTATCATACAGCATGGGACGCGGGTGGCGCTGTGGGTTAAACCACAGAGCCTAGGACTTGCCGATCAGAAGGTCGGTGGTTCGAATCCCCGCGACGGGGTGAGCTCCCGTTGCTCGGTCCCTGCTCCTGCCAACCTAGCAGTTCGAAAGCACGCCAGTGCAAGTAGATAAATAGGTACCGCTCCGGCGGGAAGGTAAACGGCGTTTCCGTGTGCTGCTCTGCTTTGCCAGAAGCGGCTTCGTCATGCTGGCCGCATGACCCGGAAGCTGTACGCCGGCTCCCTCGGCCAGTAAAGCAAGATGAGCACCGCAGCCCCAGAGTCGGCCATGACTGGACCTAATGGTCAGGGGTCCCTTTACCTTTATCCTACAGCATGCAGGATTCTTTAAACAAATATATCATATGGATTTTGATGTGGCTGTTCAGTGTGTATCCAGGAAGCACCTGAGCATCGCCATCCATAAGGAGGCTCTGCCTTTGCCTACTACCTCCTGGGAGCAGAGGAGAGTGGCATGGAGGGGAGAGCCAACTTTCCAGGGGACCCCCGGGGTCGAGGGTGAGTCCCGGGCCGGGGTGCGCAGGGGCCATGGAGTGCGCCCGCCCCCGCCAGGGAATGCGATCAGAGCCGAGTGGGGCGCAAGGGACCCCAGGGACCCTTTGCGCCGCGCCCCGTCGGGCAGGAAACCGGATCATGCCTGCGCCTGCGCCTCCTGCATCCCTCTGTCCCGGGCCGGAGGGCAGCGCGGGAGCGAGGCGAGAGGCGCGCGGCCGGCTGGGGGGGCGTGGCTCGCGTGACGTCAGCATGGGCATGAATGAACAGGGCGAGAACTTTCCCACCGGCTCCCATTGAGCTTTCCGGAGCTGCGGAGGCGACACGGCTTCTGCCCAGGCGCTTCCTCGACGGCGGCAGCGAAGCGAGCAGCCAGCCAGCCAGGCAGGAAGGCGCTGCTCCGGGCACAGCATGGGCAGCCTCCGTGGGGCCGGCGCCCCTCTCCTCGTCCCCTTCTTCCTCCTGCTCCAGGCGGCGCTCCAGGGCGCCCAGACCCGCGAAGGTGAGAAGCTTCCCCTCCCGGCCCGGGACTCTCGTTCTCTCGCTCCCCCGACGCCGCGCTCCGACCAGCCGGCTTGAGCGCCGACGGAGAGCCGCGCCGGGGAAGGGGAAACGCGCACGGCTGCCTGCCCTTCCCGGACCCCGAGACGGAGCGGGACAGACTGCCTCTTGGGGGCTGGCGGGCTGGGGGTCGCTTCTGCTCACCGGCATGGCAAAAAAAGGAAAAGTTTTTTCTCGCTTTGGCGAACTCCGGTGCCCCCTGCCCTTCCCAAAGTCGGTGCGTAGACGGTGCGGGTCCTTCTGTGCGCGTATTTTAAACTCCAGGTGCGGATTGAAATCTCCAGCGAGGGACGGGCAAGAAGAAGAGGGGCGCGTCCGTAGGGGGGGGGGCCGAAGCGAGGGGGCTGCCGGCTGGTTTGGAGAGGCGACCAGGCCGCCGCTGGGTTTCAGAGCAGCGGAGGGGAAAAGAAACGTTTCGCACCGCACAAAGCTAATGGATGGATTTCCTCACCAAAGGGGCTGTGTAGACCCGGCACCTTGTGGTAATGGAGGAGCGTAGGTCTAGCGATGCCTAAGCAGAACCTCCCGGTTCGAAGGCAGTCGACCTGCAAGTTCTCCGTGCTGGGAAACTAGCAGTGGGAAAGGGTCTGTTGTGCCTTTATGCCCTCTTTGGGGGCTTCTACCTGGCTGTCCTGCTCGGGAACAGGATACTGGGTGAGGTGGGCCTTGGATCGGTCTTTTTCCTGCGGTCCGTTGTTCGGCCTCCTGGGATGCGCCCCGCGTTTGAGGAATGGGGCGCTGGCAACCTCTTTCCTCCACGGGTTCGAGCGGCTTAAGCAGAATGCGGCCTTTGGAGTCTTGAATAGCTTATTAAACAGGCGCAAATTGTTGCAGGACATTTTAAAAATTCCTGCGTTGGATCAATAGATAGATCTTCATTTTTTCTAAAGAGTTCCGACTTATTCCTTGGAGTGTTAGGTATTGGCTTTGGGCAGGCGCTTATTTCTGCCTTGCGAGATCAAGTAAGCGCACATGGATGGACAGGGAAGAGGCTTGTGTCTGAAGAAGAGTTCTGTGGAACGCAGAAGTTTGCATACGCCTCTGCTCCCGGCCTTTGGGACTAAGCACTTGATTTCTCCCAAATAGGAAATAGTACTTCCCACTGGCTACAAGGCAGGAGAGCAAGGTTCCGATCCTGGGCCCTGCTGGTAACATTCTGGGAAATGCAGTGATTCACACTCCTTGCTTACACAACTGGGCCTCCACTGCTGTGGCAGGGATGGTTCATGCCAGGTTGGGCAAGGGAGGCAAATATTCTGGTTGCCACAAGAGAAGGGTGGGTCAGGGAGGGGCGCTGAATCAACACCAGGAGATTGATCACCCACAGTCTCCACTTTTTTTCAGGGTGGTGTGGGAAGCAGGGGCAGATTTCCTCTTAGAGAGAGATTTGGGGTTGCGTGTATGGGAAGCCATTTCCATTTCCTTTACTCTGATTTCTGCCACACTGGAAATTAGGCGAATGCTTGGTGTCTTCACCGTTGCTCCAACTCTCTTATGCAGTTGGTAGCTCTGAACTCTGCACCCTTTTGAGCAGAATCTGGGAATTCAGGAATATTTGAGCCTGGGACTATACATTTGACATTTGGAACTTCAGGTTTCAAGGGGCTAATCTGGAACCTGGTGCTGGTGTGTTCTTGAAGGTCCTTGAAATGTGTTGGACCAGTCTTTGGGCCTATCCTGCGCTTGACCCAGCACCACAGTGGGGGGCAAGCCAGCAGCAAAATTCCTTCCAGGTTAAGCCCTTCCGTGGAACAAGCCCAGACTTGCCCACAGGTGTGTACTTTTTCTGCCTGAAAGCCAGGATTTAAATATTTGGCCCCAGGGGATCACCCCAGAGCATATTTTCAGTGGTAAGTCTTGTCTCTGGAATGTGTGGAGCCCTGTTAGTCCTTGGAGCATGTACAGAGGGCTTTTCCTAATCTCTTTAGTCACTACAACCTGATCTGGTATTATGGGGCTGAGCTCCGGGGAAGCCATGGGGTTAACTGCCCCTGATCTGGTGCTCTCCTGCTGGCATGCACTACAACTCCCAGCAGAGCTGATGGGAGCCGTAGTCCAAAACATCTGGAGGGCACCAGATGAGGGAAGGCTGCCCTGAGAAGCAAGAAGGGCTTCTGGGACAGGGCTGGGGATGAACCTGTGGCTGTCTGGATACTGGTAGCCAGTGGTGAGGGATTGTGGGAGTTGTAGTCTAGGTACATGTGGCAGGGCACAGGATCCCCAGCCTTGGCTTATATGACCAACCATTCCAGTCCTGGTCTCTGGATATATGTCACCCCTTTTCATGAAGAGACCACACGATTTTTGCTCTCCTTCCTAAATTGTTCTTCCCAGGGAAGGGTCGTAGCTCAGTGGCAGAGCATATGTTTGGCATGCAAAAGGTGCTGGGTTCCTGGCAGCATCTCCAGCTAGGGCTGAGCAAGAGTCCCAGCCTGAAACCCTAGAGGGCCATTGTCAGTGTAGACAACACTGAGCAAGATGGACCCGAATTCCAACCTCCTTTAAGGTAGCTTCCTGTGTTTTCTACAAACTCTTGTGTTTATCACCCGCTCCCCTTTTAAAAGACCTGGCAGCATGCACTACCTTTCTTCACACCTGGGCAGAGCGAAGTGGGAGGAAGCAGCAACAGTGATATTTAGAGCAGAACTCTGGAGAATGTAGCGCAGGGTACTTTAAGTCCCCAAAATGCAAAGTTCAGAACCGGGGTGGGTGGGAGCCGTGAAGAAGAAGAGGAGTTTGGATTTGATATCCTGCTTTATCAGTCAATCAATCAATCTTTATTACGGTCCAGAGACCCAACAAATCATTACAAATCAATACACAATTCATACAGCCTACCTCCAGGTTACTTTATCACTACCCTAAGGAATCTCAATAGGGACGCGGGTGGCGCTGTGGGTTAAACCACAGAGCCTAGGACTTGCCGATCAGAAGGTTGGTGGTTCAAATCCCTGCGACGGGGTGAGCTCCTGTTGCTCGGTCCCTGCTCCTGCCCACCTAGCAGTTCGAAAGCACATCAAAGTGCAAGTAGATAAATAGGTACCGCTCCGGTGGGAAGGTAAACGGCGTTTCCGTGCGCTGCTCTGGTTCTCCGAAAGCGGCTTAGTCATGCTGGCCACATTACCGGAGCTGTACACCGGCTCCCTCAGCCAATAAAGTGAGATGAGCGCTGCAACCTAATGGTCAGGGGTCCCTTTACCTTTAAGGAGTCTCAAAGTGGCTCATGTCTTGGAGGAGTCCCTGTTTACTGGACAGATCCCTCCTAGGCTCCCTCCCTGGAGTTATTAGAGCCCAGCTGGCCATCATTGGGGAACCCAGGCAGAATCCCTGGGGAGATGGAGAAGGGGAAGCAGTTCCTTTTGGCTTGGGCAGGGAGCACTTTGGAGCTTCTGCACAAGGTATTTTCCATGCTCCCTGGTGGACCTGCTCTTTAGTAAATAGTAATAAGCCCCCCACCCAGCTGGAACATCTAAAAAGGAAGTACAGCATAACATGGCATGGGGTTGATGGGTGTGTGTGCGCAGGGGGGGCGGGAATTGAATGGCATATGGCTTCAAAACCCAGCAGCATGTTTGGTCAACTACCTGGAGCCACATTTTTCCCATTTGGGCCCTGCTGGTTGGTACAGTGGAACCTTGGTTTTTGAACTTACCAGTAATCTGTTCCAGAAGACCGTTTGGCTTCCAAAAAGTTTGAAAATCGAGGATCCATGGGCTGGCTGCAAAGTCAATGGGGGAAAATGAAAAACACAGCTCAGAAGCCATTTGGCTTCCGAAAATCATTCAAAAACCGGAACGGTTACGTCAGGGTTTTTGTCGTTCAGGAGCCGAAGCGTTCCAAAACAGAGGCGTTTGGGAACCGACTGTTTGACTGTACTTGCAAAAGCAGCTTGGGAGGCTCACTTGAAGTGTCCCCAGAAAAGAAGGCCTGCTGTGTCCACTCCCAAACTCAGCTGCTGACAAGGAAGAAGAGGAGAAGCCAGAGTTGGCATAAGCAGCCCCCATCCAGCCACTTTGAGACGGAAGCTTTGCTGACCAGAGAAATGTGGATTATGGGTTTTGAGACACAGCCGCTCCAAGCCTTTAGCCTCAAAGGCGGCGGCAGCAGCGCTGGCTTCGCACTCTTTTTCTTTCTTTTTTTCGCACATTCATCAGCTTCTTTTGAAAAAGCCACTGGAGTGGGGGGGGGGCTCTGGTGGCGCGGAGAGGCGCTGGTGCCGCTGGAGTGAGTCAGGTTCCCCATGGGAAAGGGGGGGTGGTCCTGCCTCTTCCAAACCTGAAGAGCCCACTGGCTTGCAGGAGAAGACAGGAATGTTAATGAAGAGACTGGATGGCCGCCTGGGCTCTCTAATTACACCAGGGAGGGAGCCTAGCAGGGATATGTCCAGTAAACAGTTCCTCTCCAGCCCTGGGCTGCTGTGTAGCAGTCTCTTGTCAGTCTCTGGAACTGGGGGGGGGGGGCAGCCAACCCTTGTGAGTTCAGGCTTCCAAAGCAGCGCCCTGAGACACACTCTCTGATGCGTTCTTTTTCTCCCAAGATGCCTAAAAGTAATTGGCCTTGAATGCAAATGGTTAATTAAATCTGGTTGCAGCTCCCAGCTTGGAACTGATGGGGCGGGGATGTGTAAATTTTTGCTTCTCTTTTTTGTGCTGCTAAACTGAAACAGCAAAATTTCACCCTTATCCAGAACATTTTCTTCATTACCGCACTAGGACCACGGGACGCTGCTTTAGACAGAGTCAGACCCTTGATCCGTCTCGCTTGGTATTGTCTGCACTGACTGGCAGAGGTTTCCTTCCTTCCTGCGACTCAGTAGGGTAGCCTTACCTCTGCCACTAAGCTCTGTCCTTTCCAAAACATTTGGTTTGGGCCTGCAGCAACCCCCTGACTTACTGTTACTGCAGGAAATTCAGCACCTCCTCTCTGCTCCATCAGCACTTTCTCAAAAGCAAGAGGTGCCGGAGCTGATGTCCACCTGGGGCACCTTCTGCCCTTAAACCTTCCTTGCAGAGCCCCAATGTGCAGGTGCGGTTTGTGGCTCTGGGGAGTCAGGCAGATGCACTTTGTGCATGCCCGGAGAAACGTTGGCATCTTCTCGACTTGAATCCTGGCAGCCCCAGAGTCGCCCCCCCCCCCACAGTCTTAGTGGTACCATGTAGTTGGCGCTGGGTTCTTAAAGGATGGGGTAAAGAAGGCGATTGAGGTGTAAAAGTTTTAAATGCTTGCTGTGTTAAGGCCAATGGGAACCATGGGCCAAAACAGCAGGAGGGATTGGGCAAGGCTGTTCTTGCAGATCACGTTGTAAAGCCCAGCTCTTTGGCTTTGGGCTCTGTGTGGATCCTGTTGCGCTCCTGACTAGCAGATTCCTGTGTACCACTTGGTCATGGATCCTCTGTCATGTATAGAATTGTGGGGCGGTTTCTCTCTCTCTCTCTCCCTCCCTCCCCATTTCCATGTGGCTAAAATACAGGCAGTCAAAAAAAAAAAAAAATCAAATCCACATACTGGGAAGGGAGGGGAGAGCAAAGTTTAAAATTAACTCTGGAAGTTGGTGGGAAAGAAAAGCTGTTCCAGATGCTGCTTGCCTATTTATTTATTTTTATTTTAAGTGAAGGGAAACCATGCAGGATGACAGGCAGGCAGTTGGGGTGGCGGTTGGTTGTGGGGGGGAGGGAAGAGAGCATTGCTTGCCCCTTTCTTTAGCAATAAATCAAAATAGCTGAATAGGTTCCGATTAGGGAAGGGAAGGGTTGCCGTTTTTTCCTGCTTTAAGGAGGCTGGGAAAGGAGAGGCAGTGCGGTATAGCGGTTGGAGGGCTGGACCAGGGCTGGGACCCCAAGTTACCCTGCAAGGTGGTTGTGAGGATAAATTGGGTGGAGGGTCTGTGTACATCACTTTGAGCTGGTTGGAGAAAGGGATAGCTATAAATGTCCTAAATAAATACGTTGCATGTGGTTATTAGTCCTTGGGGCTTTTAAATAAATAAAGTAAGTAAATTTCAGTCTGATTTGAAGGCAGCGTACACTGAATGTCAGTTCCTGGGGGACAAAGAGGGAAGGGAGAGTCGCTTTCATGCCTCGGTTGTGAGTTTCCCAGAAGTGTCTCTTTGGCCACAGGATGCCGGACTAAATGGGTCCAGCAAAGCTGGTTGTGGGTAGGCATGTATTAAAAGCCTCCATTTTCCAAAGGCCTGGGATAGCTTGGAAAAACATGAGACTCTTAATTTCAGGGTCATGAGTTTGAGGGTCATGAGTTCGAGTTGGGCCGAAGTTTCCTGCATTGCAGGGGGTTGGACTAGATGACCCTCGTGGTCCCTCCCAACTCTGTGGTTCTATGACCTGGTGCCTAAGGCAAGAGAGGGCTGTGGTGCTCCGTGTTTGCTGGGTGCAGGGGCAGGACGGACCTTTTGACCCTGCAGGGTTGCATTCTGGTGGAGCGGCAGAAGGGCCTTCAGAAGCAAAACAACAACAACAAACCCTTTAGCCTGCCATGCAATGTGAGGGATACCCTGCAACCCACAGCCCAGCTCCTTGGCTTGAGGGCAGCGCAAGGAGGCAAATCCCCACCCTATCCGCTCTGCAGTCAGTGCAGCGGTGCCAGTCCAGCACATTTTAAAATGTGCTCTGCCTGGATAGCTCGGCTGGTTAGAGCATGGTGCTGATAACGCCAGGGTTGCAGGTTTGATCCCACTGCATATTCCTGCATTGCAGGGGATTGGACTAGCTGGTCCTTGAGGTCCCTTCTGTGCTGTGGTTGCTCAAGTCGGGGAGGGCCGGGAACTGCAGTTTTGGGTGCTTCCTGGGAGACTCAGAAGGCACCTCTGATCAGCTCCAGCTCTTTGCTGCCGCAGATTCCTGGGGATAGACGCTTAGACTGGTTGCTCCTCCCTTTACGGCTGGTCCAAAGTCCGAGAATCAAACTGAGTGTCCGTGAGAGCAGGGAAGGGCAAGAGTCCAGGGCAAAAAGAGGCAGGCAACTCCACCCGTCTCTCCTCTCTGAGATGCACCAGGCTAGTTTTCCATGCTGGGATATGACATTAATGAGAGGTTTAGAGCTCTGGCAACCAAACCTAAGCAGCCCATCCAAAGACTGCATCTGGAAGAGATTTGTGGGGGGAAAGAATCTCTGGAGAGCGGCAGGCGCAAGAAACCCCGAAAGGCTGGCAGGGTTTCTGTCTGCGGAGAGACAAGCGAAGGGCCCTTGCAGAGAGGAGGGCCAGGTAGAGCCGATGGGGGAGGGGGCATAATTCAGTAGATACAGCACCTGCTTTGTATGTGGAAATTCCCAGGCTGAGTCCTAGTTAGAAGGATTGCAGGCTGGCTGGAAAGGACCCTAGAGAGCTGCTGCCAGCCCGAGTAGACAGCACTGGGCCAGAGTTCGTGAAAAAGGCAGCTTCGGAAGGACGGGACACATCTGCTTTGCTTGCAGAAGGTTCCTTGGTCCAGTCCCTGTGAAAGGGTTTTGGACAACAGGAGCCAGGAAAGCTGCTGCCAGTCAGAGCAGACCATCCTGAGCTATGTACAGCAGCAATCTGACTTGTGATTGCAAAAGCTTCCTGAGTGCATGTTTGTTGCTTCAGCAGACCCCCCCCCCAAAAAAACCCCACCAGGCCCTATTTTGGCCTCTGCAGGCCCCTTCCTCCAGCTGAACATATTTGTGAAGACTTGGGGCTTTTGTTCAGTTGCAGGTGAAATACGGTTTCTGGACTGTGCCCAGGGATCGCTCTCTAGAGATGCCTTTTCCGCCTGGCCTTGGCCAGACTGGCCTTCCAATCCCTGGGGGCCACCCACCTCCCTCCCTTTCTTTTGGGAGCCCTTTGCCCTTCTGTCACGGGGCCCCCACCCTGTTCCCAAACAACCAGCCTCTGCTTTACAACCTGAGCAGGTTACTCACCACCTTTCTCCCCGTCAACGGGGAAAATATAGAAGTAAACCAAGGAAGGAGCTTGACTACGAGATAAGAGTGAGATAATAGGGCTTCCGGATGTCGGATGTTCGAGGGCAGCTTCCTGCCAGCAGACTTGGCTCACAAAACTCTTGCCCAAGGAGGCACGACCGACCGGTGGCTATCAGGGTTTAAGAGAGCAGCAGGTGGGCAACCGTCTCCATCTTTCTGCCCTGCAAAGGAGGCAGGAGCAGAGCAAGAGCCTTGGGCAGGGACACAGGCAGGCAGCTGAGCCATTCTGTTGTGCTTCTTCTGCTGAATCAGAGAAGTCAACAAGATTTCCCATCCACGGAGAAGGCAGAACCGTGAAGCATGCAGAGAGATAACAGGCACCCTCCTCTGAGTAGCACTTTTGGACTTGCAGGAGACTTTGGGGTTACTTCCCCCTGCCCAGTGCTCTCCGAAGCACTCAGTTGGAGAATTACAAATCTATGGAGAGTAGGCATATCTTTGTCTAATCAAAGAGTTAAGGTGATACTGCTTGGGAGGGCCGGCTTCTGTTGATCTAGGGAGATGGCAGGATTTTATTTTTTTTAAAGCGTTGCACAATGGTGGATTTAGACTGGACACAAAAGCATTTATCTGAATGCTCAGCCGACTGCCGTGAAAAACATGCTAGTGTTAAAGACAATTAACCGGGGGAGTGGGGAGCTGTTTCGCAACCCAAAACCAAAGGAAAGAGAAATAATAAATATATTATGTGTCTGCTGCAGGTGGAGGAGAATTAAGTGGCATTTATGGCCTGTTTTCTCACAGGCGCAATAATTTGATTAGTGTAACAAGCATGGCTGCAATAAAAACATGCTTTAAAACTAAGTGGATGTAAGCCCACCAAACTGAGCACGGCAGAGAGACCAGCTGGAGGTGGACCCACGTGTATCTGCTTTAGCAATGCGTGTAGTATCTTCTCAATCAGCTCCCCAAAGGAAGAGGTTGGCTCTCTCCTTGCAGCCACAGGGCAGGGCAGCGAAACTCACTTCCCTCCTTCCCCTTAGTCAGGAACAAGGTGCTGTTTTCTGGCCAACGGGGCTGCATGAGCGCTTCAGATGTAGCCCCAGTGCCGGATTTACATATAAGCTAAACAAGCAATAGCTTAGGGCCCCATTTTCTTGGGGGCCCAAAACAATTTAAACAGAAAAAACCCCGGATGTACATTTCCAAAATATAAGATAAAGACCAAAATAAAACCTACGTACAGCAACAGTGTTTTGTGTTGTGTAGGCTCCTATGATGTAAGTAATGGGCCCTGCCTGCTAGACTGCTCCCTAAAACATCACTGGTTTGCTCATTTCTGTATATAGGGTGCCTACGTTCTGCAAGGACTGGTTACATGGCAACATGTGCAAATGGCTTTAGATACCTATTAGGTCCGTAAATGACCACATAGCATATATTCAACACAAAAAACAGTGACAATTTGTTGTTGACAAAGGACAGCTGGACATAGAAAGGGCCCCATTACCTTCAGTAGCTTAGGGCCTCATCGAACCTAAATCCGGCCCTGTGTAGCACGAGTGGCGAAATGGCTGTGTGAACTACGGCACTGATCTTATTTTGGGGGCTTGGAGTGTGAAAGCTGCAGGGCCCTTCCCACAAGAGCAGTAGGTGCATCCAACAGGATAGCTCAGTGTTGTCCAAAGGCATGCTTTCAGCATCCATCCCTGCTGGACCATCCCCTGCCCACTTCCCAGCCCGCTTAAACTCAGGCTAGGAGCCCTGTTGGGTGGGTGGCTTAGCTGTTCAAGTTGGGACACCACAGCCACAACCAGGAGATTAAGAAACCCCTTTGTGTTACTCAACGTGACTCAGGCTCCTTAAGCGCCCCGCGGCAATGCTGGCCTGTTGACACTGCAGAGAGTTATGTGCACCTGGGCCTGATCTGGGTAACGAGGCAGGGCAAAATTGCTCCTCCTGCAGCCTGACACCCACTTTGTGGGGATGTTAATATCAAACCACCACCCCACCACCCCGCAAAGAAGGGCAGGGACTCCCAAGCTGGCTGCGAGAAAGGAGCTCTTTACTGTTCCAGAGTCACCAAGTGCCTGGGGTTCCACACCATGGTCTCCTAAGCATTACAGTGGTACCTCGGGTTAAGAACTTAATTCGTTCTGGAGGTCCGTTCTTAACCTGAAACTGTTCTTAACCTGAAGCACCACTTTAGCTAATGGGGCCTCCTGCTACCGCCGCACCGCCACCGCACGATTTCTGTTCTCATCCTAAAGCAAAGTTCTTAACCCGAGGTAATATTTCTGGGTTAGCGGAGTCTGTAACCTGAAGCATATATAACCTGAGGTACCACTGTATTGGGAAAGGGTTTTTTTGTGGGCTTAGACTTTAAAGACATGGCCAGTGGTATTAAATAACAGCGTCCCTGAGCATGGGCAGAGTTGCTCCCTGTCACCACTGAACAGCCACAGCTAGGATTTGGAGGCAGGGTTTTCTGGTCTGAAAGTGTTTCACCAGTGTAAGTTGGGAGCAGCTTGGTTCTCTGAGCCCTGGAGGGGGAAAGCTACCTGCCCGTCTCCTTCCATCTCTCTTCCTTCTACTTCTTCATAGCTTAATGTGGCAGGGCGTGCTCTCTGGGACATGCTGGGACTTCATAAACCTCACAAGACTCTATGTGTCCAAATCAAAATCACCCCACTCTGGCATTGGAAAGCTCCAGCTGTTCATTGCGTAGTTTGGGATGCCACAACCAGGGATGTTTATACCCCTCCCAAACTCTAATTTTATAGGATCCAACAAAAAAAATTGGGGGGGGGGAGGAGTTGGTCCTGTCTCCTTTGCAGAGTATGAAGCTCTCTGTGAGGTTGAGAGTCCTCCATGCGATAACCGTCTTTTTCTTCCTATCCCTTTTCCCCTTAGTTGTCGTACTGGACTTTGCCAAGGCACAAGGGGATCTGGGCTGGCTCACCAATCCCTACGGCGCGGGGGTAAGTCTTGTTGTCAGGTTTCTCCTGCTTTAAGGAAACGGCTTTGTGCAAGCAATTTCCCTGCAAAACACAAGAGTACGCTGCCCTTTGAATGGTACCCACCCCTGTCCTTAAGAAGCCTGATGGTGAGACCATCCCCATGTCCAATGGATTTGTTCACAGGGCAGTGGGTTGCTAGTCGAACTGAAGCTTGGGCGTTGCTGATTACCTCACATTATAAAAGGAGGAGGAAATGGCGGTAGGCGTCTTGGGAGAAATAAACGGCAGGCATAATGACTTGGGAAATGTAGATTGAATTCTTACATCTGCTTCAGATGCTCCTTTCAAAGCAGAGGCAATATGAGCATGGAAGGAAGAGAAGAATTCCTAAGCAAACTTTGTGTTAAAAAAACACACACCCCAAGAATATTTACTTGGGATTAACATGAGTGGCTTTTAAAGATTTACTTTTATTTAGTTATTCATTAAATTTCTATCCCTCCTTCCCATAGGAGCCCAGGACAGCAAACAGGATTTTAAAAATGAATGAATGAATGAATGAATAAAAGCCATCTAATATCCTCATAGCTAAACAATTTCAAGGTTGCCAGAAACAGTATATATTTGAGCCATCGAACACTTGGGTGAATCAAAACATTTCAAATGCCTATCTTGATGTTAGTGAGAGAGGCAGGGGCACCTCACTAGAGAGGGCCTTTCATAAATGAGGAGCTGCTACCAAGAAGGCCCTGTAAAGGCTCCCTGATGGTGGGCAAAGGCCATCTCTGAGTATCTGATGCTTGGAACAGTCAGTAGGGGAAATCTGTGGCCTTTGTGTCTGACTTAGCAGCTTCCCAGGACAGCAGATTAGCCATAGTTGAAAATGAAGGCGTTACATTTGCATGGCACTTGAACCACAAATAGTCTCTGCTTGAACCTATTGTTTCAAAATCGGTTTTTTGTGGTGTGCTGCTGTTTCCAGTGGCTGTCACTTCCACAGATTATTACTTGTGCAAGAAGAAACATTTCCTCTAATGGCAGCCATTTTCTCTTCCCACCCCCAGTGGGATCTTCTCCAGAACGTCATGAACGAGTCCCTCATCTACATCTACTCGGTCTGCAACGTGATGGAAGGGGAGCAGGACAACTGGCTGAGGACCAACTGGATCTACCGCGGCGAAGCTCAGCGCATCTTCATTGAGCTCAAGTTTACCGTCCGAGACTGCAACAGCTTCCCCAGCGCCACCGGTACGTGCAAGGAGACCTTCAACCTCTTCTACGCGGAGTCAGACGTGGATTACGGCATCAACTTCCAGAAGCGCCAGTTTCGCAAGATCGACACCATTGCCCCGGACGAGATCACGGTACGGGAGGACTTTGAGACGCGCAACGTCAAGATCAACATGGAAGTGCGCTCGGTGGGCCCCCTCACCCGAAAGGGCTTCTACTTGGCCTTCCAGGACATTGGGGCTTGCGTGGCCCTCCTGTCTGTCCGGATCTATTACAAGAAATGCCCCAAAGTCTTCCGCAACATGGCGAGCTTCCCCGAGACCATTGCTGGCGCTGACTCGCAGGCCTTGGCGAAGGTGTCGGGCGAGTGCGTCAAGGATGCCTTGGCCAACGAGGACCTGTTCATGCATTGCAACTCGGATGGGGAGTGGCTGGTGCCCATTGGCGAATGCCGCTGCCGCGAGGGCTACGAAAAGGACGGGGACAGCTGCAGAGGTAACTAGGCTTTGCTTCTTGTTTTACTCCTGTGTCGCTGAACTTCCCAGTCGGCATTAGGACAAAGCAATACTTGTAAGAGCACAGTGAAGGGAATGGAGGGTGCAGTTGATGTCACAATGCCCCTACTTCATCCTAGTCACCCAAAGCCCACCTGAACAAAAATGGTGCTTCCATAAAGTGTCCAGGGCATGCTCTATGACTTCTACAGATGTGAGGCAGCTGTTGCTGCTGTTCCTCGTTGCCCTCAAGTTGCTGTTTCTCTTTGCCCTCAAGTTGGGAACTTGACTTCCGGGGGGCATAGTCAGCATAGCACCCACAGGGACTCTGCCCCTCACGCTCCCAGTCTTTCCAGCTATCTGATGCTGGTCAGGTGCAAACAGGCAGGTTCCACTCTGAGAAGTGCTGGATCTGTCAGGTACCAGCAGTCTCTCTCTACTGGGGCCCATGGAAATGTCAGACTTCTAATCCTTTGTCAACTCACATGAGAGCCCCAGGAAATGTGTCTTCAAGTTTCTTATGGGATGGGCTGGCTGTTCTCTTCTTCTTTCATGCCCCCACTTCAAATCTGCCTTAGCAAGCCACAGGAGTGGGGAGAGGACTAACAGGAAGCCAACCCATAATGTTTCTTTTTCTCTGCAGTTCTGTCTTGTCCTGCTGCATGGTCCCAGCAGATTATTACTATTTCTCAGCCAAAGTGTTAATGTTGCTTGTTAAGTATTTCACTGCTGCTACCCCTTGGTCCATTTGTTTGGTGAAGTGTGATATTGACAAAGGCTGAAGATAAGTATTCTACACTTCTCCAGTCTCCAGTCTGGCCAGAAATGTTATGCATTCAGCATTTCTTGCCGTGTGTATGTGAGAGTGAAAGAGACCCCCCTTCCCCACCCCCTCAGCCCCTGATCCTAAAAGAGCTCTCAATTCCAAGTTCTGGAATAGTGGCCTTTGTGCATCAGGACTTTCTCTGTTAGACAAAGAACCTAGGAAGCTACCTAATGGCAAGTCAGATCCTTGGACCATCCATCTCTCTCAGTACTGCTGTAGCCCCTGCACTGCCCTTCTGTTTCGGGGGATTCAAAATGTGGAGAGAATCGGTTAACAGGGGAGAGTGGATCAGTAGAGAATCAAATGGCCTCGCAAGTCAGCTCATGTCAAAGCTCATGGACATCTTGTATATAGAAGTTTCCAGGGTTGATTCCATTTTACCAAACTCCTTTTTTATACTGCCATATAGAGGAAGTGAGATCAGCAGCCAAGTCCCCCCCACTCACACCTGTCTTGCTCTTCTGTTCCCCACCAATCCAACTGAGTGAGCCCCCTTCTTGGAAGGTGGGGAGTTGTGGGGGGGGGGCAGGAGGAGGCAGCCGCCAAGAGGCTTTGCTTCAGGAATGTGCCTGGGTTTTGCAGAGAGAGAGAGAGAAGGAGATAAGGAACCTTGAAGGTTATGAAGTAATACAGGCATCTTGAGCAAGCATTCTCTCTCCCCCATATACACTATCAGGCTCACCTGATAGAGGCTGTTATCTCACTTCCCTCCTGCATGATATCGGAGGCCAAAGGGGGAGCCAAAACATGGGGAAGGGAGCTGCTGGCTGCTCAGTTTCTTCAGATGGCCTCTCTCCAACGTCAACGAGAAGGAATTCAATTTTTCGATGGAGTGGACAGACTCCATGACTGGAGAGAGCAATGTACCCCTCGGGGGAGACATGGCTGAACAAGCCAGCATTTAAAGGGGGTGCGATTTTACCTTCTTACTCATCTTTAGCCACACATGGGGTGCAGTGGGGCTCAGAGAGGTGCTAAGGAGCAACTAATCTCCATTGAGAGTGATGCTGTTTGGCCTCTGGAGACCCAGAGATAGTTTTCTTGCTGCGGGGGACTGGACGGAGGAGCTGGAATGGACGACTGGACATTGTGTCCACTCCCTCTGTGGTTGATAACCACCTCTTGCCGGCGTTTCAGTGCCTCTGAGCTTATGCAGAACACATTTATCTTGCTGCCGCTCGCCCTCCTGCAACCATGTGCGGGATTTCATCAAAAGCCAAATTCTTTCTTTTTCTTTCTTTCTTTTAAAGAAAGGTGAGAGTGTTGCCTAGAAACACTTGTTTGATTTCCCATCTAGTCTGGTAGGATGTGTTGGTTTGGATTTGGAGCAGAATAGAGGATTTCTCTCCTTTCCTCCCTGCCATTCTACAACGGCCCCCAGCACCTGCCCCGCACCGCCACACCGCCAACAGTGCTGGTTTGCAGACCCAGCCTGGTTTCCACAGTGACAGCCAATGCCTTTGTCCCACCCTCTGCATTTGTCTGGTGCTAGGGGAGATGCCGTGGGGGTGCTGCTTCTGGGAATCAAAAAGAAGAAAGGGTGGCCTTGGCTCCAAGAGTGATGGCGGTGGGTGGAGAGGAATAACTGCTGTTGTTTTTCCCCCCTAACTCCTTTCTGCCTTGATCTTCCTTGTTACATCCCTGCCTCTCAGCCGCACACCTAGGAGAAGTTCCCTCCATCAGTTGTCTCTTGGGGGGGGAGGAACGTAGAGCCATTTCCCCCCTTCGAGAGCCAGTGTGGTGTAGTGGTTAAGAGCGATGGACTCGTAATCTGGTGAACCGGGTTCGATTCCCTGCTCCTCCACATGCAGCTGCTGGGTGACCTTGGGCCAGTCACACTTCTCTGAAGTCTCTCAGCCCCACTCACCTCACAGAGTGTTTGTTGTGGGGGAGGAAGGGAAAAGGAGATTGTTAGCCGCTTTGAGACTCCTTAGGGTAGCGATAAAGTGGGATATCAAATCCAAACTCCTCTTCTTCTAAGCCATTTATTCCTTGAGCATTTTGCAGAAGCCTACCTGCCTAACCCCAGCTCCTTGATACTTTCTCTCTCATGATGGGATAAGCTGCTCCTCCGTGGGCCCCTCTCCCTCTTTTCCAGGCTGCCCTCCCCTGTTAGCTGCCCCCCTCCAGATCTCCTAATCCGGGCCTCCTTTCTGAAAGGGGGAGCACCTTCCCACCTCCCCCCCCCATTCCCTTCTCCAATGGCATCTCCACCTCCAGTGAGCCTCCAGCCTGGCTCAAAGGCATCCATAGCAGCAGCAGCAGAAGAAGAAGCTTCCCATTTTCTCTCCAATCCATCTGGGGAGATGTGGCAATCATACGCAGACCAAGCACCCAGCCATCTTCCACCCCCAACTAAGCCCCAAGCCTTGGACCCTTAGCAGGGGTGTCTCCAAAGACACTGGTCCTCTGTCCTATGTGAATGGGGGCATTGTTTTCCCCTGAGAGAGAGAGAGTATGTGTGCATCTGTATATGAGGCTTGGGTAGGGACCCCGCTGGCTTATAAATTCGCCCTCATTAAACCAGACTGGCTGTTGGTGCTGTGAATGGCAAGGGCTGACACGTCCCTTTGTCCCACTCCGCCTCGCTCTCCTGGCTGTCTCCTTGCTCCTCCAGCCTTGATTCATGGCTGCTTAAATGGCTTGCCGCGCTCTCCAGATTTATCTGGCTATCTCTTGGCATCAGCGTCTGCACGATTTCAGGCGACACCCACACGCGACTCTCAGATTTCACCTGCTAAGGAATCCTGTGTAACCCCCCAAAAAAACCTTAGTGCCCATAGGAAGGCCTTGGGAATCCCCTAAATGATGGCCTGCTTGGCATTCCCTCTTAACTGGGTCAAGTCACACAAATGAATTAGTGATTGGGTGGCGAGCTTCCCTTCTCCTCCAATAAAGGTAAAGGGTAAAGGGACCCCCGACCATTAGGTCCAGTCGTGGGCGGCTCTGGGCTTGTGGCACTCATCTCGTTTTATTGGCCGAGGGAGCCGGCGTTCAGCTTCTGGGTCATGTGGCCAGCATGACTAAGCCGCTTCTGGCGAACCAGAGCAGCGCACGGAAACACCGTTTACCTTCCCGCAAGAGCGGTACCTATTTATCTATTTGCACTTTGATGTGCTTTCGAACTGCTAGGTTGGCAGGAGCAGGGACCGAGTAACGGGAGCTCACCCCGTCGCAGGGAATTGAACTGCCGACCTTCTGATCGGCAAGTCCTAGGCTCTGTGGTTTAACCCACAGCGCCACCCGCATCCCTCTCCTCCAATAGTGGTGTTTATTTTTCTCGCCCTGGCTTTTTAAACATGGAATTTCTGGGAGGAAATAGCTCCAGCGTGCTAGGTGTTGCAAAGAATACAGAGTAAGGCAAGCGGGTGTCGCTGCATTTGAGTTTTCTGGCACCAACGGGTACTGGGCAAGGAGGAGACTTCAGAGTCTCTGCTTGGCGGAGACCCTGAGGGTTGCAGCAAACTGCACTGGGTGGGGGGGCATTGACTTCTGCTGGCCTGGCCACCCCCCACCTGCACCCTGCCCACACGTTCCACCATTGGGCTGTAGCTGTCTCCCTCCCAAGGCCAGTCGCATTCTGCAGCAGCCGCTTCCTCCAGCGGGAGGGGGGCGGGATTGGAAAAAGGAATTTGCCCTTTTGTGTAAAGATACTCTGACCTCCCATCCCTCTGGCCTCTGTGAAAAGGGAGGCCCATGGGCAGGAAACAAAGGCAGTTTATCTTCGGGAATAAACACAGATATTCTTGGCTTCCTGCACACATTCCCGCCCCCCCTCCAGCCCCCCACCCATCACTCCTTTTTAGCTCCTGCTGGCAAGTTCTGTGCTGCCACCAGCCATCACCATCTCTCTGTGTGTGTTTTGCCTCTCTCCCTGCTCTGGCCTTCAAGTAAGAGAGATTGCCAAGGAGGGTTCTATTCGCTTGGCAACTCGGGGGCTGGCTGACAATATCTCAAAAGGCCAACTGCCCACCCACCAGAGCCTTGGCATGGTATTGTGTGCTATTGCGCTCTTGCCTACGGCACGAGGCCAGCCGAGTGGCGTCATGTTCAGAAGGTGAATTATTGAAAAAGCACCAGGGCACCTGCCAGCAAACATTCCGCTTCTTAAACCTCGAGAGCCAGTGTGGTGTAGTGGTTAAGAGCGGTAGTCTCGTAATCTGGGGAACCGGGTTTGAGTCTCCGCTCCTCCACATGCAGCTGCTGGGTGACCTTGGGCCAGTCACACTTCTTTGAAGTCTCTCAGCCCCACTCACCTCACAGAGTGTTTGTTGTGGGGGAGGAAGGGAAAGGAGAATGTTAGCCGCTTTGAGACTCCTTAAAGGGAGTGAAAGGTGGGATATCAAATCCAAATCCAAATCCAATGGTCCAGCTCTCAGGACGTACCCTTTGTATTGATGGTATTAGTCAGGCTGCGACGTTGAATGGGTTTAAAAGGTGTCCCCCTGATTGGTCAGGCAGTAGGGCTTGATTGCTTGTTTTTTTAAAAAATGGGTGCCTTAATACAAGTGTTTATTTAAAACTGCCCATGGCAAGAGCCCTCTTCGGAGTCGTCCTCTCTCGCCTGCAGGAGGGGATGCCTCTTCTGAGACGGTGCATTCATGCATCCTTCCCCAACAGTGCATGCTTTTTGCTCCAGGACAATTGTGTTTTACCCATATGCAAACTTAACTGCCTAATTCCTGCCATTGATTGACATGCTCTTTTAAGTGGGTTGCAAGCCTAGTTTTTGCAGAAACGTTGTACAGTGGTACCTCGGGTTAAGTACTTCATTCGTTCTGGAGGTCCGTTCTTAACCTGAAACTGTTCTTAACCTGAAGCACCACTTTAGCTAATGGGGCCTCCCGCTGCCGCTGCCGGAGCATGATTTCTGTTCTCATCCTGAAGCAAAGTTCTTAACCCGAGGTACTATTTCTGGGTTAGCGGAGTCTGTAACCTGAAGTGTATGTAACCTGAAGCGTATGTAACCTGAGGTAACACTGTATTTTTTATAGAGTTGCAAGGGGACCCTGAGGATTGTCTAGTCCAACCCCTTGCAATGCAAGAAGATGCAGCTGTCCCATTCAGGGATTGAACCTGCAACACCACGCTCTGACCAACTGAGCTACCCATAATCTATCTAAGATTTTAAAACTGTAATGTGAAATCACGGTGCAAATGATCACGAGTCATGCTGAGCTGGCCGCTGTCCCATTAATAATAATAATAATAATAATAATAAATTTTATTTATATCCCGCCCTCCCCAGCCAAAGCCAGGCTCAGGGCGGCTAACAACAAACAAATAATCAAACAATCAAATAATCCAACATTCTAACATTTCATTATAAAATTAATTAAAATCAAATTAATGGCAACCGTTAAGCAAAGTTCTGTGCAGGTTGCCGGAGGTGGGAGTCAGGCTGGGCCCTGACCAAAGGCCTGGTGGAACAACTCTGTCTTGCAGGCCCTGCGGAAAGATGTCAGGTCCCGCAGGGCCCTGGTCTCTTGTGACAGAGCGTTCCACCAGATTGGAGCCGCAGCCGGAAAGCCCTGGCTCTAGTTGAGGCCAGCCCTAACTTCTCTGAGGCCTGGGACCTTCAGGATGTTTTTATTTGCAGACCGTAGGTTCCTCTGTGGGGCATACCAGGAGAGGCGGTCCCGTAGGTACGAGGGTCCTAGGCCGTATAGGGCTTTAAAGGTTAAAACCAGCACCTTAAACCTGATCCTGTACTCCACCGGGAGCCAGTGCAGCTGGTATAGTACCGGATGAATGTGATCTCGCAGCGAAGACCCCATAAGGAGTCTCGCCGCGGCATTCTGCACCCGCTGGAGTTTCTGGGTCAGTCTCAAGGGCAGCCCCACGTAGAGCGAGTTACAATAATCCAGTCTGGAGGTGACCGTCGCGTGGATCACAGTGGCTAGGTCAGGGCGAGAGAGATAAGGGGCCAACTGCTTAGCTTGGCGGAGATGAAAAAATGCCGCCTTTGTTATAGCTGTAATCTGCGCCTCCATAGAGAGGGAGGTATCGAAGATTACACCCAAACTCTTAACGGACGGTGCTGGCACTAATTGCACCCCCGCAAGAGATGGGAGTTGCCCCCCCAATCCCATATCGTCCCGTCCCAGCCAGAGGACCTCTGTCTTCGAAGGATTTAACTTCAACCGGCTTCCCTCTGGGTATAGTTTAAAGGTAAAGGGACCCCTGACCATTAGGTCCAGTTGTGGCCAACTCTGGGGTTGTGGCGCTCATCTCGCTTTATTGGCCGAGGGAGCCGGCGTACAACTTCTGGGTCATGTGGCCAGCATGACTAAGCCACTTCTGGCAAACCAGAGCAGCGCACGGAAACACCGTTTACCTTCCGGCTGGAGCGGTATCTATTTATCTACTTGCACTTTGACGTGCTTTCAAACTGCTAGGTTGGCAGGAGCAGGGACCGAGCAACAGGAGCTCACCCCATCGCGGGGATTCGAACTGCCGACCTTCTGATCGGCAAGTCCTAGGCTCTGGTTTAACCCACAGCGCCACCCGCGCTACAGTTTAGGGGACTCCAAACTGATCAAGAAGGTGTTGCCATCTTATCCAAGTTTATTAAACAGTCATCTTCTGCGGGGAGTGGTTTTGGGCTTCTGTGGATTCTGAACTGCTGTGAGGTATCAACAGACCAGGTGGGGGGACAGCAGCAGACACCTGGTGGGCAACATCCTCTTCCACCCCCCTCACAGCCACCACTCCCTGTTAATACTTCGTACTGGGGAAGCAGCTGCCGGCACACCTGCCTGTGGAAGTCCCAGGGAGAGCCTTGACTTGCCCAATAATTGCACACGGAAGCGAGTCTCGGCCAAGGGTGGCTGCGCTTATCTTTTGTGGGCATTTAACCACTCAAACTAGAAATGTGTTCTAGACTCCTTCAGATGGCACCTGTGGGGTGGCGGTGGGGGAGGGGGAGGGGAGCATTCTCGGTCCCTTCCAGCCCAGACATTTACTGCCTCCTGGCACACACTACAAGTCCAAGCCAGCTGGGCTTAACTGCACACCTTTTAAATATCACTTAAGTAAATCTTCTCTCTTTCTCCTCTGCGAGAGGACCAAAAACCCCAGCATTCAGGTTTAAAATGGTGCCAGCTGCCAAATTCAAAATGGAGGGAAAGGAACAACTTGCCACCCTCCCCCCCCCTCTCTCTGCACCCCCAATTGCACCCTGGTGTGGCAAAGAGGAGTGTGGGAGGCTGTGTCAGGGCATCCTGGACCCTGGTGGGTCTTTGATGGAAATATGCCTCTTACAGTTTGACTCCCCCCCCCCCAAATAAAGCTACTGTTTTGATCAAGGGAAGTCATAATCCCGCTCTATTCTGTCAAGGCAATAAACAATTATTTTACTTTTAAAAGGCAACTGAAGGCAGCCCTGCTTAGGGATGTTTTTAATGTCTGATGCTGTATTGTTTTTAATATTCAGTTGGAAGCTGCCCAGAGTGGCTGAGGAAACCCAGCCAGATGGGCGGGGTATAAATAATAAATTATTATTATTATTATTATTATTAAAATAAAATGTTATTTATATCCCGCCCTCCCCAGCCAAAGCCGGGCTCAGAGCGGCTAACAACAATAAAAGTAACACAGTTTACATAAAATCACAATCAGTTTATTGAAATGCATTCTAAAATCAATTCATTCTAAAATCAATTCAAAATCAAATGAATGGCAACCATTGGGTTAGAGTTCTATGCACTGGAGTTGCACAAAACCTGGAGTTTTGTGTCCAGTTTTGAGCCCCACAATTTACGGATCATAATTGACAAGCTGGAACGTGCGCAGAGGAGGGCAACCAAGGATGATTAAGGGTCTGGAAACCAAGCCTTATGAGGAACGATTGAAGGCGCTTTTTCTCCTGTAAAAGAGGAGACTGGGAAGAGATAGGAGAGCCATCTTCAAATATCTAAGGGGCTGTCACATGGAAGATGGGACAAGCTTGTTTTCTTCTGCTGTGGAGGGTAGGACTCGAACCCAGGGCTTCAAGTTACAAGAGAGGAGATTCTGACTAAACACCAGGAAGAACTTTCTGGCAGTTAAGAGCTGTTTGGTAGTGGAACAGACTCCCACGAGAGGTGGTGGCCTCTCCTTCCTTGGAGACTTAAGCAGAGGTTGGATAGCCATCTGTCATTGATGCTTTAGTTGAGATTCCTTGCATTGCAGGGGGTTGGACTAGATGACCCTTAGGGTCCCTTCCAACTGCAGTTCTATGAAATACAATTCAATGTAAGCATTGAGGCAAAAGAGATCCCCGTTTCACGCACGCACTAATAGGGTCTCAACTAGGAGTGAATGGTCAGGAAAAAGGTAGTGAAAAAAGTGACTTTCATGTTGGGATTCATTAGGAAAACGATCGAAAATAAAAGTGCCAACATCATAATACCGTTATTCAAATCGGTGGTGTGATAGCACTTGCAGTTCTGATAATCATACCTGAAAAAGAATATTGTAGAGCTGGGAAAGGCTTAGGAAAGATCAGTCAAAATTATAAGAGGGCTGAACAGCTCCTCTATGAGGAAAGAAGAGGCCGTATGCAGATTTATGGTGTTTGACACTGTCTTATTGGAAATCGATACGATACGATAATCTTTATTGTCGTACCATACAGAACAACGAAATTGAAAAAGGAAAAAAATCTATGTAAGACATTCAAAACCAACAAGCCAGCTATCCCAGCCTGGTTAGCCCCCTAAAAACTCTGATACCCCATTTTTAAAATACAATACACTCCCCTAGAGACTCCTTACACTGTGTTTAAAACCAAAATCGCATTTGGATAGAAATGGTTTCTCAGACAGCTAGTCCTAGTCTTTATAACCCTGTACCTTCTTCCAGAAGGGATGCGGGTGGCGCTGTGGGTAAAACCTCAGCGCCTAGGACTTGCCGATCGCATGGTCGGCGGTTCGAATCCCAGCAGCGGGGTGCGCTCCCGTCGTTCGGTCCCAGCGCCTGCCAACCTAGCAGTTCGAAAGCACCTTTGGGTGCAAGTAGATAAATAGGGACCGCTTACCAGCGGGAAGGTAAATGGCGTTGCGTGTGCTGCGCTGGCTCGCCAGATGCAGCTTGTCACGCTGGCCACGTGACCCGGAAGTGTCTGCGGACAGTGCTGGCTCTCGGCCTATAGAGTGAGATGAGCGCACAGCCCTAGAGTCTGGCAAGATTGGCCCGTACGGGCAGGGGTACCTTTACCTTACCTTTACCTTCTTCCAGAAGGCAGAAGCCGAAAGAGATCCTTTTTCTGGAGGGAGCAGAATTCCCCACCATAATCACCTAAGCACCCTTTTCTACACACACACACACACACACACACACACACACACCGCCTGCCTTTGGTAACATGACAGTTTTACAGCCAGCACTTTTGTTTCTAAGCAAACGGAGAGATTGCAGACCACACACACAAGATATTGAAAGAGGTTAAGACTGGGGATGCTGTTTCTGGGCAGGCAGCTTTCAAGAACCAGACCCTCTTTTCCATTTAACAACCTGGGGGTGTGGGTGTATGTGTGTGTGTGTTTCTTTTTTTAAAAAAAACAGCAATCTCTTGAGTGTAAGTAAAGTTCCACCTGGGGCAGAAGTTTGAAAATGCGGGAAACCATTTCAAATAGCTAAGATTTGCTATGTTCAGGGGGACTGTTAACAAAATGGTATTTTGTGGCTTCTATTCTGCAGCCTCAGTTATGGCCCATCGGATTCGGGAAAGGATTTTCCCCCACTCCAGCCCAGCCTGGGACATTATCTCTTGGCATCAGGGGCTGCTGTGACCAGACAGGATGGTACAGAGTTCCATTGGGAAGACCATGGCATTTTCTCCAGGCACCAAGATGCTTCTACCACTGTCTGGTTCACAGGAAGGTTTTTGAGTAGGCGGTGTTTTGAAAAATAGTTTCTCTGCATTGAATGGAATGGAGTCTCTGCCTGAGGGCCACTGCATTGGTGCGATCCTGGTAGCAGTGCCCATAGGGGGCTGTTGCTTGCAAGAAAGGAGTCCTCATGCCAGCTACTGACTTAAGGCAAAGCTGTAAGTCGGGCCGCATTGAGTGCTTTCCAAACGGGAACCAGAGGCTTCCAAAGAGCTCTTCCTTTGTAGATCCCTCAAGGAAGTGACGCGATTCCAGGGGGATTTTGAGGAGCAAACTGAGTTCCTATGGAAGAGTTTACTCATGCAGGAAATAAGTAAGAGTTGCTCGTCTCAGGCATTGGCATAGGTAGGCTGGGGCTTTCCTCTGCACGTCCTTCCACCCTCCCCTGTGCGTTCACCATGATGCATGCATAGTCACGAGGCACACTGGAAACCTGAAGAAGCAGCAGCAGCAGTAGAGGTGCCCCAATTGATGCTCACGTCAGCTTGGAGTGTGTTTTCATTTCCACTGAACAGATTAAAAGGACCTGAGTGTGTCTCTCCTCCCTTGCCAAGTATTCTTTGAAAACTAAAGTGCTTAATGATCTTTGGATTTACCTTTTTCTTAAGTTCTTGTGGAACTATCATTCCCATTGAACACATGGGGAACTAAGATCGAACAATGACTTTGTGGTTTGATTTGAACTCGGGTCTTTCCGATAAAAGTCATCTCTCTGTGTTGTCGGCCATGGTTAGGAACCCCAGGAGGACTAACCCAACCCTTCTTTTCTCTTCTTTGCAGCTTGCTCACCTGGGTTCTTCAAAGAGGACATCTCCAACAACGCCTGCTCAAAATGTCCCTTGCACACTCTGCCGTCTTCCGAAGGTTCCACCTCGTGCCCTTGCGAGGAAGGCTATTTTCGGGCTTTGACTGATCCTGTTTCCCTGCCATGCACAAGTAAGTGGGAGATCTAAGCGGTACGATTGCCCAGGAAATGATAAAGGCTTGCTGTGTTGACGGCTATCCGCTTGGAGATTCATCAATGTCCAGAGGCAGTTTGCAAGTATTTAATGAAACCAATCAACCTCGGATAAACTACTGCTGTTTTATTCAGTTTGTGTCAGTCACAGGAGGGAAGGCAGGAAGCGACAAAAGCAGCAGGCTCGCTCCTGGGGCAATGCGAGAGTCCTTGTGGACAATATTTGGTGAGGGGTGGGATAGATAGCTGAGATGGAGAGAAGGCCAGAGCGAGGAGAGAGGGATGGAGCATAGTTCCAGAGAAAGAGTCAAAAGTTGGAAGTGAAGGCTTAGGATTGCTGAGTTGCTGGGCTAACTGGGGAGTGGTCTTCTGCCTTGCATCAAAGAGACCTGTTCATTTTTTTCATTAGGCCCTTTTTTTCCTCCATTCACAGGACCCCCTACTGCTCCCCATGCTGTCACAGCCATAGGCTTGGGCGCCAAGGTTCAACTGCGCTGGTCCTCACCCCGGGACACGGGTGGCCGCAAGGACATCACCTACAGCGTGTCATGTGAGCAGTGCTGGCCGGAGTCGGGAGAGTGCCGGCCCTGCGACGCTACACTCCGGTATTCGGAAAACCCTCACAACGTGGCCGGCACTTCCCTGACCGTCAGCGATTTGGAGCCACACGTTAACTACACCTTCACGGTAGAGGCCCAGAATGGAGTGTCCTCCTTCAGCCCACGGCGCAGCTATGGCGTCACCAGCATCAGCGTCAACCAGACTGGTAAGGGGACCCAGCGTCGCAGACGAGTGAAAACGATGCAGATGTGCACTTTATGGTATGAGGTGCCATTGGCCCGCATATGTATCGTCCTGAGAGCTGTTGCCTTCCGGCGCTGCTTTCCGGAAGCATAGGGCGAGTGCTGTTGGGGCAAAATGTGGTCTGATCCAAGATGGCCGCTCTTGCAATTGATGCCACTGCGCAAGGGGGATTCCCTGGTTCTTGGTTGGAGGATGGATGGCGGCTAACAGATTGAGTTTGAATCCTGACAAGACAGAAGTACTGTTTTTGGGGGATGGAGGTGGGCAGGTGTGGAGGACTCCTTGGTCCTGAATGGGGTAACTGTGCCCCTGAAGGACCAGGTGCGCAGCCTGGGAGTCATTCTGGACTCACAGCTGTCCATGGAAGCGCAGGTCAATTCTGTGTCCAGGGCAGCTGTTTATCAGCTCCATCTGGTACGCAGGCTGAGACCCTACCTGCCCACAGACTGTCTCGCCAGAGTGGTGCATGCTCTAGTTATCTCCCGCTTAGACTACTGCAATGCGCTCTATGTGGGGCTACCTTTGAAGGTGATCCGGAAACTACAACTACTCCAGAATGCGGCAGCTAGACTGGTGACTGGGAGCGGCCACGGAGACCATATAACACCAGTCTTGAAAGACCTACACTGGCTCCCAGTATGTTTCCGAGCACAATTCAAAGTGTTGGTGCTGACCTTTAAAGCCCTAAACGGCCTCTGTCCAGTATACCTGAAGGAGCGTCTCCACCTCCATCATTTTGCCTGGACACTGAGGTCCAGCTCTGAGGGCCTTCTGGCGGTTCCCTTGATGCGAGAAGCCAAGTTACAGGGAACCAGGTAGAGGGCCTTCTTGGTAGTGGCACCCGCCCTGTGGAAGGCCCTCCCACCAGATGTCAAAGAGAACAACAGCGACCAAACTTTTAGAAGACATCTAAAGGCAGCCCTGTTTAGGGAAGCTTTTAATGTTTAATAGCTTACTGTATTTTAGTGTTTGTTGGAAGCCGCCCAGAGTGGCTGGGGAAACCCAGCCAGATGGGTGGGGTATAAATAATAAATTATTATTATTATTATTATTATTATTATTATTATTAATTTTATTATTATTGAACATGTTGGCATTTTTTTCATGCCGCAGCCACAGCAAACAAACTTCTTGGCTGCTAAGGATGGGACTAGGGATTGCCTGGAAGAGCTGAGCCCGGGTGTTTTGTGTTAGGTTTCCCAACCACCACTGCCTTTTAAAGCTTTGTTTTACCAAAAAAAAAACCACACACCTCCTTACAGGATCCTGCAGAGCCCAATGCACCATCCAAATTTGCCCAGAGGCTCTTCGGATAGCTGGAAGGGACAGAGGAGGAGACAGCTGTGTGTGTTTTAGATAAAGGTAGCAGTGTTCAGTTGTTGAGCAAGTTTAGTTTTAGTTTTCATATGCGCATAAAGCAGCCAAGAGGTTGCAAGCAGTGCAGAGGGCCCAGTGTATAGAGTGTACTGCATCCAGAAAATAGTTTTAGCTCAGAGCTTAAGCCCTGTTAGAAAAAGCTAAACAAACACACACACACACACCTGTCTAAATTTGAAACTATCTGTATAGATTAGCATATGCTAATCTCATGCTAATTTGTGTCATTTGCCTTAAGCACTTGGCCACACCCTTGTTATGAAGGCAGCTGTGCAAAGTGAGGTCTTGTGATTTGTCTGTTGGACTTTATTTTGGACCTGGGTACTCATCAGTTCTGCGAATGTAATTTGAACAACCTCTGGAAGTCATAAGATGCCTCATTACAGATGAGGCTTTAAGAGTTTTCAAATTCTATATGGCTCTGGGGCTACTGGCTGGCTGGTGACTGGGCAAATGGTTTTGTCTGGGGAGGGTGCAATCCACTGCAGCATGCCAGACTCACTCTCCTCCTCCTTCTCCATGCTCAGAACCTCCCCGAGTGACCTCAGTGACCATGGATGGCCGCACCACAACCAGCCTAAGTCTATCCTGGACTGTCCCACCTCGGCAGCAAAGCCATGTCTGGAAGTACCAGGTCACTTACAAGAAGAAGGTATCTGTCTCTCCTTGGTACTTCTCTGCTCTTAACCTTGAGCAGCGCTCCCCCTCCCCCAATTCCCCAGCCCATTTCATGGGGAGAAACTGAGGCATGCAAGTTTTTGTGTGTTCCTTTCCTTGCAGAAGGATGAGAACAGCTACTCTGTACTGCGCTGCGAAGGGAGCTCTGTGACCCTCCCGAAGCTCACCCCTGGGACCAAGTACTTAGTGAGCGTCCAAGCGCTGACCCAGGAGGGTCAGGGAACCAACAGCATGGAGCACGAGTTCGAGACGCTTGATGAACGTGAGTTTTGGGGAGGCAAAGCTTCTCTAGTTAATGCCGAAGCAGGGAAAGTAAATTGGGGGGGGGGGGCAGGACTGGAGCAAAGTCACCAGAAGAGAACACACACACACACACACACAGAGGCAATCTGTTTTCGGATAGCAATGTTTTCCTAACCACCACCTTTTTCTTCTTCACCCCACAGGCTCTGACGGCACAAACACCGCGGCAGTTATTGGGGGTTCTATTGCTGGCTTTGTTGTCACGGTCGTGGTGGTGGCGCTGATTGTCCTGCTCATTCGCCGAAGGCATGTGCTTTATTATTATTATTATTATTATTATTATTATTCTGTTTGTTTAAGGCAGCGGGGCAACAATGGCATTTAGGAGAACTGGATGCCGGCTGTTCCTTTGTTTCCCACAGCGCGCAAACAGGCAACTTACGGCAACCTGTTACCTCCAGTCTAGCAGGCTTTGCAGGGTTGGTTTTGTTGTTGTTTTTAAAATGATACCGTAATCTATTTTTCCAGAGGCAAAAAGTGGAATGGGTGTACACTTCTACCAAGTGCCTTCAGTTTTCAGAGAAACGGTTTGCAGCAAGTGAGCATTTTTGCCAGATGGCAAACTGTCTGGCCTTTTCCTTTTTGGGGGGTCTCCTTTTTCAGAAGCAGTTTAAAAAAGCTGGAGCAGGGGGTTCCAATGGCTCTTCCATTAGTACATGCAAATACAGCACTCCATGTCTAGCAACATCAGCATCCATCTGATGTCACAGTCAACCCAGGCTGAACATGCTAGGCTTTGGAGATTCCCCTCCTGGTTTATTCCTTTTTGTGTTTTTAAACTCTTTAAGATAAACCATCAAAAGTGAAAGAGGGAGGGAAACATGCTGCTGAGTCATGGTGTTCTTACACCAGCCCCATGTGCTCTCTCCTCTGGGATTTGTATTTTTAAGCCATGAATTTGCACTTTTGCATTTGTAGGCCTGCTTGCACGTCCATTACATTGGTGCAACGTGCCAAAATTTGGGAGGGCAGAACCTTAGGGGGTGAGGCTTGATCAAAGAACCTGACTTGAGAAAGCATATTTCCCAGAAATCATTGGAAAGGACTGGCAAAGGTGCATTGGTGTCTTGACACAAAAATACTTTTAATAAATTAAAAGGCCTTTGAGAAGGAATGGGGCAGAGGTTACAGAGTTTGATGCAAGGAGGTTTGTGTCTAGTGCAGTGTTTCCCAACCTTGGGCCTCCAGCTGTTTTCGAACTACAATTCCCATCATCCCTGACCACTGGTCTTGCTAGCTGAGGATTATGGGAGTTGTAGTCCAAAAACAGCTGGAGGCCCAAGGTTGGGAAATGCTGGTCTAGTGGATAAGGTATTCTGTGGGAGAAGGTGCAGATAGGATTGCCTCACAGGATCACTCAAGAAAACCCTTATTGTTGTCGTTTAGGAAAAAGAACTCAAGGGCCCGACAGACACCAGAGGACGTTTACTTCTCCAAGTCTGGTGAGTAATGGTCACTGGCCACATCAGTGCATGAGGTGGGATTTGCTGGATCTGAAACATCAGACAGAACAGAAAAGGGCAAAAAAATTGCAAGCTGTTTAGACCTCGAGAGTGAGCATTTATTGTTAAAGGGGTGCATTTACTGTGTCTGAACCCACATGCATGTCCAGCACTCACATGTATTCGCACACACACAAACCAACAAGAGGTTTGGGGTCTTTTGCTAGAGTTATAGCATGCGTACATTTAGGAATACATGTTTGCCTCTATTCCTGCCTAAATAAAACTCCTGGCACCCGATACTGAATTTTATTCTTGGCTGGCAATCCTAAAAGACCTCTTAAATGCCAGACAGGCAACCCAGTAATTTTTAGATGCAAATAAATGATTTTTACATTAAGATTCTTGAGAAGCACATCAGCAAACGCGGCTTACTTTATTACACACAGTGTAATAAAGTTTTTCTGTTTTAGGCAGAAAAATTTAAATATTTAAGTAGGGAGCAAATCCTACCATACACCTTAATCTAAAGAGTGGAAGAATCCCTGCCTATTTGCAAAAGTGGGCTCAAACTGATAGTAAGTTAAGAAATGGAGGGAGGGGGAAGAAGACTATTGGTGGGGGGGTTTGAGATGAGTAGCTAGTTTCATTGTGCTTTTGAATTTAACCCAGAATTTCCTGTCTGCTTCTCACCTCGCCCATCTTGCAAATTAAGTGTTCGGCTGAAAATCATCCTAGCAGGCTGTGACTGAACTGGCCGTCTTTTGTCCGCTCTCTGCTCCATTGCCGGATCATAGACTAACTTGGCAGTGGGCAGTGCTTGAAAAGCAGAGAGCTTAGGCATGGAACTGCTTTGTAACAGCCTCTGCCAAGAGCTCCCCTTAACTGTGTTGTTCCTCTTCGTCCCACAGACCAGCTCAAGCCCCTGAAGACGTATGTGGATCCCCACACCTATGAAGACCCCAATCAGGCAGTCCTGAAGTTCACGACTGAGATTCATCCTTCATGCATCTCCCGGCAGAAAGTCATAGGGGCAGGTAGGGTGCCTTCCATCCACCTTGCACAATGCAGTTGGCTGATGGAGGTGGAGAGCATGTCTCTTCTCCCATGTAGTCAAAGCTAGTTTCAGAAGGAGCTTTCGGAAAGGAAAATAGTAATGCTGACTTTATTTGAAAATAGTATTAAACACTTCTACTTTTTTCTTTTTTGCCAGGTGAGTTTGGGGAAGTCTACAAGGGAACGCTGAAGAACAGCAAGAAGGAGATCCCAGTGGCCATTAAGACGTTGAAATCTGGCTACACAGAGAAGCAACGCATCGACTTCCTGAGCGAGGCTAGCATCATGGGCCAGTTTAACCACCACAACATCATCCGCCTAGAGGGAGTTGTCTCCAAATGTAAGAACCCCTAGATAGGATTTAAGGACCTTGGTGGCTGTTACTGGTTTCCTGTTCCAAGCTACCTCTTTCTGCTGGGCCAGTTCCAAGATACCAAACTCCTGGGCAACTGCATCAGAGTTTGGAATCTACTTGGATCTCATAGGCCAATCCTCTCTCTGTTTCTCTTTCCAGATAAGCCGTTCATGATCATCACAGAATACATGGAGAATGGTGCCCTTGATAAATTCCTGCGGGTAAGTAGTATTCTGTTCATCGCTGGCCTCCTTCTCATGTATACTGTGAGTAAGAAGAGCCTGTTGGATCAGGCCAGTGGTCCATCTAGTCATCATCCTGTTTGCAATGTGGCCAGCCATATTATGGCCATCATTGGAAGCACTAAAGCAGAGCCTGAGAGCAATAGTGCTCGCCCCTCCTGCAGTTTCTGACGCTCTGAAGCATGCTGCCTCCAACATAATGGGTTTTTATGGACTGAAAGAGCCTTTATTCTTAAAGGCAACATGTACATATTTTAAGTCAATAGGAATAAAGCTTTTGTTTAAGAAGCTAGCATTTAGCTTGCATTGTTGTTGTTGTTTAGTCGTGTCCAACTCTTCATGACCCCATGGACCAGAGCACGCCAGGCACTCCTGTCTTCCACTGCCTCCTGCAGTTTGGTCAAACTCATGCTGGTAGCTTCGAGAACACTGTCCAGCCATCTCGTCCTCTGTCGTCCCCTTCTCCTTGTGCCCTCCATCTTTCCCAACATCAGGGTCTTTTCCAGGAGTCTTCTCTTCTCATGAGGTGGCCAAAGTATTGGAGCCTCAGCTTCAGGATCTGTCCTTCCAGTGAGCACTCAGGGCTGATTTCCTTCAGAATGGATCGGTTTGATCTTCTTGCAGTCCATGGGACTCTCAAGAGTCTCCTCCAGCACCATATTTCAAAAGCATCAATTCTTTGGCGATCAGCCTTCTTTATGGTCCAGCTCTCACTTCCATACATCACTACTGGGAAAACCATGGCTTTAACTATATGGACCTTTGTTGGCAAGGTGATGTCTCTGCTTTTTAAGATGCTGTCTAGGTTTGTCATTGCTTTTCTCCCAAGAAGCAGGCGTCTTAGCTTGCATAGTAGGTCCTAAATCCTTCCCTTTTTGTCTCAACAGGAAAAAGATGGGGAATTCTGTGTTATTCAGCTGGTGGGCATGTTGAGGGGTATTGCCTCTGGTATGAAGTACTTGGCCAGCATGAATTATGTCCACCGGGATTTGGCTGCCCGCAACATTCTTGTCGACAGCCAGCTCGTCTGCAAAGTCTCTGACTTTGGTCTCTCCCGCGTCCTGGAGGATGACCCTGACGCCACCTACACTACAAGTGTGAGTGATAATGGCTGCTGTCCCGTCATGTTAAGTTATGGTTCTGTCCCACCATGGCCAAGGAAGCTGCAACGGGTGGGAAAGGGGGGATGCATCTTCGCCAGCAATATGAGAGCCAGGGCTGGCATCTGGAGGAGCTGCCCATGGTATAGGAGGAAGAAATAGAGAAGCCAGAAAGGGGGTCCAAATGGGAGGAAGGAACTTCTAACTTGCTGGCAGCGGATGATCAATGGAATGCGTGTGACCAGTAGCAGGAAGTCTGCTTTACCGCTCAGTATAATAGGGAGCCAGTGGGAATTAATCCAGGATCTAGGAACACCTGAAGAAAGAAGAGGAAGGAAGGAAGGAATGCTTGTTTCCCATAACTCTTAAGATGGCTTCCGGCTAAGGTCTCTGCCCTTGTTCCGGAAGGATTTGACTTCTAGTCATCAACATCTGCCACTTGGCTAAAACATGAGACCTTCTTTTCTATCAGGAACTTCAGAAATTGCCTGAACGGAGGAAAGCACATATTTAGAGAGCCTGGGAATTTGAAAATGTTTTCTCCCCCAAATCAGTGAGTGCCTTGGGAGTCAGAGGTTCTGAGGGTTTTGGTGTGCTTGTCTCTTGCAGGGTGGGAAAATCCCGATCCGGTGGACGGCACCGGAGGCTATCTCTCATCGCAAGTTCACCTCGGCTAGTGATGTCTGGAGCTACGGAATAGTGATGTGGGAGGTGATGTCCTATGGTGAACGGCCTTACTGGGAGCTCTCTAACCACGAGGTAAGCGACTGGATGTCTTTGTGTGGGTGTGAACTATGGGGCAAGTGATGCCCCTGCTGGTGACCAGATTGCTGTTGGATCCCTTGTGTTTGGAGTTTTCTGGCTAATGGAGAAGAAAGCTAATTCTAGGAGATACAGTCGAAATATATATAAAAATTAAAAAATTGTCCAGTAGCACCTTGGAGACCAACTTAAGTTTGTTCTTGGTATAAGTTTTCGTGTGCATGCACACTTCTTCAGATACACTGAAACAGAAGTCACCAGGCCCTTATATATAGTGGGAGGGTGGGGTTTTTTGTTGACTACTGTTAACGACTACAATTAGTCCCACAGGAAAAAGCAAGGGATAGTATGCAGGTGATTAGCATATGTAATGAGACAGGAATCCAATATCTCTATTAAGACCAGGTCTCTCCATAGTTTTCAGTTTAGTGATAAGTTGTAATTCAGCAACTTCTCTTTCAAGTCTGTTTCTGAAATTCTTTTTTAATAAGGCAGCTGCTTTGAGATCCTGTATTGAATGTCCTGGGAGATTGAAGAGTTCTCCTACTGGCTTCTCTGTCTTGTGATTCCTGATGTCAGATTTATGTCCATTTATCCTTTGGCGTAGGGTTTGGCCTGTTTGTCCAATATAGAGAGCCGAAGGTCACTGCTGGCATTTGATGGTATACACAATGTTAGAAGATGAGTAATTAAATAGGCCTGAGATGCTATGTTTGATGTTGTTGGGTCCAGTTGTGGTGTTGTCTGGGTGTATGTGGCAGCAAAGTTGGCATCTGGGTTTATTGCAGGCTCTGGTACCAGTGTCCAGTTGGTCTCTAAGGTGCTACTGGACAATATTTTTATTTTTTTATATATTTTGACTGCATCAGACCAACATGGCTACCTACCTGAATCTAGGAGATACAGTCCCAGTTCCAGAATGCAAATGGAGTTTTGTCTTGAGGTCCATTTTTTTAAGGAAGCAATGTTATGAGGCACACGCCTCCCCCATCCCACCCTAGCTGTGCGTGGAAATGTCTTTGTCCCCAGCATGGGCTCAGTCTTATGATGTAAATTGCATCATAAGTTTTGCCCAGTCACCTGTGAATCTATCCATCCGTTCTGACTGAAGTTACATAAAAAGCTGCTTATTGCTTGGGTTCCTCAAAGTTTATGTCTGCAAGGCTAGGGGTGGACTTGCAATCATGCCTGCCTTGGATGCTGGTTTTTATGCTAGGATGGTAAGACAAAGGGGATGGTCTTTCTAAGCTGAATCCCCTTCATTGTTGTTCACTTTGCCTTCCCAAACAGGTGATGAAAGCAATTAATGAAGGCTTTCGGCTCCCAGCACCCATGGACTGTCCTTCTGCCATCTACCAGCTGATGATGAGGTGCTGGCAACAGGAGAGGAGCCACAGACCCAAATTCAATGATATCGTTAGCATCTTGGACAAGCTCATCCGTGCTCCTGAGTCACTCAAGACTTTGGCTGAGTTTGACCCTCGGTATGTGCCTCTTTTCTGGGCCTCCTGCTCTCAGAATCCCTAGATACGGTTTGGGAACTGTTGTCTCCGAACATCCCCTTCCCATCTCCAGTCCTCTGAGACGGAAGCATGTAAGAACAGTGCCAGGAAGGGGAAAAAAATTCCCAGCCCATAAGCCTCCCAAGAATTCTCCCCATCCACTTGGGCTACCTTAGACAAGACCGAACTTTAAAGAGCCGGGGTCCCCTTTTTTTTGTCTTTGAAGGATCTCCATTCGCCTACCCAGCACCAGTGGCTCAGAAGGGATCCCTTTCCGAACTGTGGCCGAATGGCTGGAATCCATCAAAATGCACCAATATACAGAGCACTTCGTGGCCGCTGGGTACAATGTCATTGAGAAGGTGGTTCAGATGACCAATGAGTGAGTGTGGCAACTTCCACTCTTCCTCCATTTTTTCACCCCCATGCCTGCTGAGAATGCTTCTCCTGTTGTTGTTTTTTCCTCATGGTCTTTCTTCTGAAGCCTTTGTTCCCCTCCTGAGAGAGGAGGTAGCTGGAGTTCAGGGTCCTCCGTGAAAAGCCAACTCAGCTGGCTGTGAACATCATGGTCCATTTGACCCCTTCCCAGTTCACAGCGGAGAATGAGGCTGTTTTCTGCTTTGATTTCCAGAGAGGAGAGATCTCCCTCCTTTTGTCACATGACTTCACTGTTAGAATCCCGTAGGATTCGTAAATTCACCTTTCCACTGTGTCGGGGCGGGGGCTTACACATCTTGTTATTGCTGCCTCTTGTTGTTCTCCCCTCTCTCTTGGGAGAGGCTGATTCAACCGGCACCCTATAATTAAGCCACTTTATGAGGCCAGGAAAACGAGGAGTGGCTCGTTAAAAGCAGACGGGTGCCCAGCCTCCTTGGATCATGGCAAGGGGAGTCCACACCTTCTCAGCACGGGGATTGCCGGGAACCTTTGTGTGATATTGAAGCTGTGGCTTCAATATCAACCTCGGTTTCTTTTTTAATGATACCTCTGCAAGAAAGATGGAGATACTGAGTGTCTCAAGTTATGCTGGTGGGAGTTAAAGGAATACACTCCGGATTTCACAATATTTCCCACTAACCTGGTCACATCTGTTTTCTTCCCGTTCCCAGGGATATCAAGAGAATTGGGGTACGTCTGCCAGGACACCAAAAGCGCATTGCCTACAGCCTCATGGGGCTGAAGGAGCAGGTCAGCACCATTGGCATTCCAATCTAAGAGGGACGGATCTTGCTCTCTATTGGTAGCTTCCTTGCCTAACTTCAGCTACCCAGTGGCCGGGCCAAGAACCAATGGGCCGTTGTACTTCCTGATACATACTTGAAGTGGAGAATTCAGGAGACCTCTCTCACCAAGGATGCCGGCTGCCAAAGAAGGAGTTGGGTGCCTGCTTTTCCACTGTGCTTCCTCAGCATAGCTCTGCGTTTTATTGCATGGCCTCGTGACTGCTCTTGTCTGCTGGAAATAGTAACGCTGCGGTGCTGGAAGTTTTCAGACGAGGCATTGGGCTGTGTGTCGCCAGGCAGATCTGCCAAAAGCCACATTTCATTCCTCTCCTGGCTTGGACAGATCCTGGGACTACTGGATGCCTGGTTCCATCCTTCCTGCCATCTGGCTCCCTTCCGTTTGCAGCCCTGCAACACAGAAGACCAAAGCATCCCTAGGGCTGTCCATCCCATTGCCAGCTCTGCCATCTTGTCTCCGAGAAACCTGCAGGCCCAATGCCGTATTTATTTATCTGTTTGGAAGCCAAACCTCAACTGGTTAAGACTCTGTGGATTTTGGGAGGTGGGAGAATTTTCTCATGCCACAGCAACATTGTTGAACGTTTTTGGACGCTGAACAGTTGCTCTGTTCAGTCACAGATGGGCTGTTCCTTTGTTCTTCCTTTTTAAGAAGCCAAACGTGGTTGGATCAAGAGTAATGCTTGTGCAGAGTCCCCTCTGGCATTTGTGAGTTTCAGCTTTGAAGTGGTTGTGCCAAGGATGACCGAAAATGACTCTCCACAGAGTCATCTCAGTGTTTCCTGCTCTCTATTTATTCATCTTTTCCAACTGCTGCCCCTTCTCCCCGTTCCTATAATGCACTCTTGACTTATTGACAATTGTTATCCTTCCATATTACTTCAATTTTTAATTTATTTTTTTATATTTATTGATTTTTTTAAAAAAAGCAAGACTTTGCTGTTAAGGGTAATCATGCACAACTTGAACAAAAATGTTTACCTTGTGTGCAGGAATATTTCTAGCTTTAATAAAATGTTTTTATTCTTGTTTTGTTGTGTAAACTGCACTGTATGGAATGAAATGTGAGCACATAACTACCTTGAAGGAGCTGGCTGTTGGCCACCGTTACTAACAGGCTTCCCAAAGGCATCTAGTTGGCCATTGTGAGAATAAGATGCTTGACTAGATGGGATTTCGGCCTGATGTAAGAGCCAGTTTCACTGTTAGGGCTCACGATCAGCTTCTAGAATGTTATAGGTCCACCTCTTGTGTTGAGGTTCTTTCCACATCCATTTAAGTGATGTGGAAATTTAATAAACCTTTCTTGCAGAAGAAGATGGTCACACATGGTTAACCCCATAATCTGCCACCAGCTGGTCACCCCAGCGTTCGAAACTCCCATTGTTCTAGGCGCATTTTGCGACAGGGAATTTCATTAGCGCGAGCAGTTTGAGCTCTGGGCACAGTATTGCGCCTAAGATTTCAGATTAAAACAGCAGAGTGGAAGGAAAGGAGGACCTTTTCCTGCCTCCCCACTTCCAGCTACTCTCTGAAGACTGGAGAAGAGACCCTCTTAAGAATACAGTGGTACCTCTGGTTACATACACTTCAGGTTACATACGCTTCAGGTTACAGACTCCGCTAACCCAGAAATATTACCTCAGGTTAAGAACTTTGCTTCAGGATGAGAACAGAAATCGTGCTCCGGCAGTGCGGCGGCAGCAGGAGGCCCCATTAGCTAAAGTGGTGCTTCAGGTTAAGAACAGTTTCAGGTTAAGAACGGACCTCCGGAACGAATTAAGTACTTAACCCGAGGTACCACTGTATTAGGGGGGTGGGCAGGGGAAGCATGGCTTTGTTTTTTGCAGACTTCAGATGAGGACCAGACCATGTGAAAAACGAACTAAAGATATTAGCTGCAGTTCACTCATTTTCGGCTTTGTATTCTTATTATAAAAAAAGAGTGCCTAGGCATTCTGTTGTTGCGCCCATAATCTAGGCTTAAGGTACCATTTAGCTCCTGGCTTCCCTATCTCTGTTTCTAACACTGGGTCACCCTATATGTCAAAGTGCAAGAGCAGACAGGTTTCTGGGGGTAAGGGGTTGGCAAGGGGTTGGGAGTAGAGTCATCATGGTAATAATTTCCCTCTTGCTGTGGAAAGCGGGTAGGAAGAGGCGTCTCCCTCCCGCACGCCCTGCATTGATGACCATCCAATGAAAATGAGTGGCAGGAGAGCCAGGCAAAGCCAAAAAAAGGGGGGGGACTTCTTCCAATGATGCAAGATTAACTTTATTGGAATTTGCTGTCATAAGAGGTGGCTGCAGTCACTCCCTTAGGAAAAACGCAGGGAGGAGAAAGAAGAGGGTCTGCCTATGGCTATTAGCGAGGGATGCGGGAGGCGCTGTGGGTTAAACCACAGAGCCTAGGGCTTGCCGATCAGGTCGGCGGTTCGAATCCCCGCGACGGGATGAGCTCCCATTGCTCAGTCCCAGCTCCTGCCAACCTAGCAGTTCGAAAGCACATAAAAGTGCATGTAGATAAATAGGTACCGCTCCGGCGGGAAGGTAAACAGCGTTTCCGTGCGCTGCTCTGGATCACCAGAAGCGGCTTAGTCATGCTGGCCACATGACCCAGAAGCTCCCTCAGCCAGTAAAGCGAGATGAGCGCCGCAACCCCAGAGTCTGCCACGACTGGACCTAATGGTCAGGGGTCCTTTTACCTTTACCTTTATGGCTATTAGCAACAATGAACAAAAGTTTTGTGTTCACAGGCAGCCTTCCTCTGAGTAAAGCAGCCCTCTTAACTCTCTTGCCAAAGAGTCATACTCTGGAATCTGCCTTCTGCTAACCAGCAGCTGTTTTCTAGCATTTCAGACAGGAGTCTCCACTAGGCTTCGCTGGGGACTGAGCCTGTGGTCTTCTGCATGCAAGGCGGATGAGATGCTCTGCTGCTGAGCTACTGCTGTCCAGGAACAAATGTCAATGCCCAGAGTCGGATAGCACCTCCTGTGTCTGCAGCTGGGTGTGGGAAACAAAATAGTTTTAAAAAGAATTACGCATGCGAAAGCTGGCATGGTTAGGAGCTTCTCTCCGACATATTAGGCTTTGACATGAGAATAGCTGAGCTCTGCCTGGTTTCTCTCCTCCGCTCCCCCTGCTACAATCCCTCTCTTCACCATTCCCCTCCTGACTTGCGTATACAAGTCAATGTGGACTGCAAGCCTTGCGTGCTAAGTCTGTGTCACTCCCTACAATACCTGTTAGTCATGCTACAGTTGTAACCCTTCATTTCATGACAATACCTGTCTGCAAAGGGTTGCAAAACAACTGTAATGTTTTAATTCCATGGCGGGTGCCAACCCCAGAAGGGAAAAGATGGCAAGCATGAGAGAGACAGAGAGGATACCTCTCAGGATGCCAAGCTACAAATTAGTTCCAAATCTTTCTAGTGAGAGGTACATAGCAGCCCTGAAAACTCCGTCAAGCTGTGTCCCCTGACTTGGCTGCCAAGTGCAGTCAAGCCTATGCTCAGCCAAGGTTGTCAAACTGGTTCTTGCCTTGTTCGCTGGGATTTCCAAGAGGTGGTTGATCCAACCAGGATGGTGGCGCATCACATTTTTGGGGATTGCAAAATGCTGGGAAACGAAAGCTCCTGTTGACAACTTGCTCAAGCCTCTGGGCTTGGTTAGGGCAAGTAAGGCCACTTGGCACAAGGCAAGCAATGCAGGCAGCCAAGACTGGAGTGTCATAAGCCTGTGGGAGACCACTCAGAAACTTCCAACTGGTCCAAAATGCATTGGCCAGATTACTGGCTGGGGTTCCATTTGTGTCTCCTATAACCCCTGTCCTAAAACAGCTGCATTGGTTGCCAATTTATCTCCAGGCTCAATTCAAGGTGCTCATGCTTAGCGACTTAGGTCCCAAATATCTGAAAGGCCGCCATCTTCCCTGCAGACCCTCTCAAGTGTGAACAGCAGGAGAGGCGCCTCTGTTTGTTGTTCCACCACCCTCAGAAGTTGTGAGGTGTCCTCTGCTGCAGTCCCTAAGTTGTGAAACTCCCTGCAGAGGTGTGTCTGGTACCTTCATCATCCAGCTTTTCCATATGCTAAAGATCTCCCTCTTCACGCTGGCCTTTTGACACAAGAGAATAATTTTTTGGGGCCCACTCTAGTTGTGATGATGACTTGTTTTAAACTGTTCTCAATGTTGCATTTTGCTTTTTTGTAACCCATCCTAGGACTTCATGGCGAAGGCTGGGTAACAAATCTAAACACAAACAAAACAGCAAGGTGCCCTGGAGCAGGCACGTCCAACAGGTAGATCGTGATCTGCCAGTAGATCACTGGATGTCTGTGGTAGATCACTGGCTCCCTCCAAAGCTCAACATTTTTGCCCCCAAAATACCGGGCCTTCCACTTCCCTAAAAAAAGCTAAACAACTTGGACCTGAACCCCTAAAAAACTGGGCTTTCCTCCTCACAAAAAAAAACAACTTTGACAAGGGGGTAGATCACTGCCAGTCTGGTGTAGTGAGAGCCAGTGTGGTGTAGTGGTTGAGAGTGGTAGTCTTGTAATCTGGTGAACCGGGTTCGCTTCCCTGCTCCTCCACATGCAGCTGCTGGGTGACCTTGGGCCAGTCACACTTCTCTGAAGTCTCTCAGCCTCACTCACCTCACAGAGTGCTTGTTGTGGGGGAGGAAGGGAAAGGAGAATGTTAGCCGCTTTGAGACTCCTTAAAGGGAGTGAAAGGCAGGATATCAAATCCAAACTCTTCTTCTTCTTCTTCTTTGTGAGTAGATCTCAATCTCTTGGGAGTTGGCCACCCTTGCCCTAGAGCAAGCAGGTCAGGTTGTTTGCCTTTCTAAATTAAAACTGTCCAGTTACACTGTTTCCTGGCAGTGGCTCTTAAGAGTCTCTAGCAGGGAATGGTATTGGCCATCGCTTGACACCTGCTCTTTTTAACTAGAGATGCCAGGAGATTGAACCCAAGTCCGTGTGTGTGCGCGCACACTCGTGTGGCCCCCCCCATGCTTCCCATCATTTAGGCCCCTAAGAAAGTGGGTAAAGGTAAAGGGACCCCTGACCATTAGGCCCAATTGCGGACGACTCTGGGGTTGCGGCGCTCATCTTGCTTTACTGGCCGAGGGAGCCAACGTACAGCTTCCGGGTCATGTGGCCAGCATGACTAAGCCGCTTCTGGCGAACCAGAGCAGCGCACGGAAACGCCTTTTACCTTCCCGCCGGAGTGGTACCTATTTATCTACTTGCACTTTGACCTGCTTTCGAACTGCTAGTTGCTGGAGCAAGGACTGAGCAACGGGAGCTCACCCCGTCGTAGGGAATCGAACCGCCGACCTTCTGATTGGCAAGTCCTAGGCTCTCTGGTTTAACCCACAGCAATGGGTAGACAGAAAGAAGCAGCAGAGACCTAGCAGGCTAGTGTGGGTTGCTGCTGGAGAGGCTCAAAGGTTGCCTACAGAGAACTAGAGTTTAATATGCATTCTTTACTCCGAGGCCTTGAGTGAGGCATTACCTCCTAGAACAGCTACACACAATTCCCAGCGTCCATTTGCGTGAAGGCATCCCAGGCACCATGACCTTTTTCCTTTATAGGTTTGTGGGTTCCTCTCTGACCATAGGGGTTAATGTCTTAATTGAAAGCGCCCCCTCCCCTCTGCTCCCTTAATCTTCTCCCCACCCCCCACCGGTCAGCAACCCAATGCCCCTTCCCCTCTCCCATCCCCTTTTCATTGTTTCCTAAACTGTCCTGTGATCCCAGCAAAAAGGATGTGGCTTGCTCTCTCTCTCTCTCTCTCTCTTAAGATCAAGCAGCCCATTTTCTCCAGACCCTCCTTTGTCCTCCTTCCTCTAGGCAAGTAGCTCCTTTGCATTTTAATGCCTGCTTCCAAGGGAGCATGCGGCCACTAGCAATTACAGATCCCCGTAACAAAGATCTAAGAGACAGAGGGAGGAGGGTTATTTTGACAGAGGGAAGGAAACACAGGGAAGGCTCCCAATGAAAAATCAATCGACTGGCAGGCTGAAAACAGATCAATTTGTATTGGTGAGCAGGCAGGAGTGTGTTTTATTCTGCCCAACATTTAAACATGCCGTGTCCCATGAAAGATGGAACAACCACCCCAGTCTTAACTGTCTTTC